TCCACCGATAAAAACTACTAAGATCTTTTAACATAATTTAAGATTCCACTGTAATCAAATAAACCTAAATCAGAACGTAATATTAATAGATTTTATATTATTAGTCTCCAATTACATTACTACACTCCTTACATCTTAATAGGCAATATTTTAAGCATAAGGAGCACTAATTTTGAGAGGAGAGTTTACAAATCAATCAGGTATAGATTTAAGACATTATTTAAATAAAAAGGAAGTTGCTTTTTAGAAGACTATAAGTAAAAATGAAAATGATTATTCATTACCAACATTACAATTATAATTCCAAAAAATATCTAATATTTTTTTATTTCTATCTTTATTAGTTTCACTCTTAATCTTCACTTCTAAAGCTAGGCAAGATCTTATTTTTCAAAGGTTTTTCCATTTCAACCAATTATACACTTCATTTAATTTTATATTATTACAATATAAGATCAGTTTAGTGTGGGGATTATTTATTTAAATATCATAAAAAATGTTATCAATTATTAATTGATAAAGATTTAAATTTAAATGATACTACTTCTAATTAATAATCTACAGAGAACAGTAAGCTAAATGAAGAGATTAAAATAAATATACTTACTTAAAGACTTAATTAACACAACATTCATTGAAAATACATCTAGGATATTACATGATAGATTTCCTTAATTTATTACTATTTATAAAACAGAATTAGTCTTAAAAGATATAATTAATAGTTTCGTAAAATTAGTTTATAAAGAGGAAAATATTACAAAGTTAAGAAAAAAGATACATCAAGAATATTGAAAAAATAAAGTCAATCTTATAACTAATTTAAGCTATGATTTTTTCAATAACTCTACTCTTTTCTTGGTAATATTTTCATAACCTTTAATTATGATTTTCAATTGATTTAAAAGTATTATATATTCAAAAAGACCGAAAAGACACATTAATTATAAACAGTATGATATTATTGAAAGAGTTAAGATTTAAGGAGATAATAATTAAATATTCCCTAACAACCATCTAATAATCTTTAATACTGATGCTCTATGTAATTTGAAATTAATTAATAAATTTTTCATTTCTAAAAAATGAGATTAGCTCCCCCCATCAATATTAAATTAATTGGTTAAGAATTCTATAGAACTAAGTAAATATATAATACCGAGAAATCAATTATATTTATTATTGGGTACGCAGATATAAGTATGTGTATATTTTGTTAATTACAATATTATTATTCACTAAGATACAATTTATCAATATTATTCTAAGTTTATAAATTTTTGTAAATTAATGATTTAATTTTATTTTTTTCACATCTTCAAAGCCTCGACTTTAGGGTAGATCTATTGGAACTCCTAGAGGCTACATTAATGTGAGTGTTTATGTAGCTAAAACCAGTGCTCTATCAATCTCACTCACTTAAGTTTTCTCTTTAACTTCTTAGGAAAGTATCTCCTTTGGGAAGGATTAAGACTCATCGATTCAACTTTTGAATTTTATCTTGCTTGCACTAAAATCAATCTCTTCCACGCTTAATTAATAATGCTGAGGCATTTTCGAGTTAATTAATTAATTCATTTTTGATTTTACCTTTTTTTTTTTATATTATAGTCCTAGAAGATTCTAATCTATTACGATTAGAAAGAGTTTAAATTGTGCTTTTTAGAAAGTGATTTACAAAATTGGTTTCCCTGATAATAATTAAATACTAGCTCCAAAGAATTTACTTATTATCCTTTAGCTGCTAAAATATCATAATTTGCTGACAATTTAATATTCCTACTAACGATCCTCCCTCCTCCATGAGAAGAGAAATTTAGAGATTTTCTCTAGTTTAGCCTCTTGGCTAATTTAATGAAAATCAAAGATTTTATCTAATTCTGTGTTTTAGTGGAATAACTATAAGTCATTATTATTTCCTTCTTAAATTTCTTATCCAAATAGGTATAAGATTTGTAGAGATTAAAGATTCTTGTAAAAATTTTAATTAAAAATTTGTTGTTTTTTTTATATATTTTTTCTTTTACCTCTTTTTTTATGTTTATTTCTGTAAAAATTGTTTCCTTATCTTAGTAATTGATATTTCATATATCAATCAAGACTGATTTAATTAGTTAATCATTTATTGAAAAGACAAAAATTAATAATATCAATAAAATCGATAAAATCCCAAATTTTATTGAAAATATGAAACATAAAATTAAAGATTTTTATTGTAATTACCATCACTAGTTGAGATTTAAATTAGTACTCCTTTAGTTAAATTACTTCTTTTAAAACTCTCCTATATTTTCTTAAAAAGCAATATATGTTTACCTCCTTGACTGCACTTAAAATTTTGTAATTGCTCTTATCATTTATTTAATCATCTTCTTTAAATTGAAGGGACTCTTTTCATGTTCCAAATTGTAAATAATTGGAGCTTAGTCAAATGTCCTCCTTCTCTTGCTCCTCTTATGTAAAATGTGATAAAAGAGCCAAGGAATCTCATTACTTCAGAAAAGTCAGCTTCATTTAATTAAAGTCTTTCTCCTTTCAAATAATATTAGGTAACATCTCGAAAGCTTGAAGCATTTTAGTCATATTTATTATTTTTAAAACACTTTTCCATAAATAAAGAGCTTACAAAGAAAATAATAAATCATTGCAAAATAAAATTATGGGATAAAGAAGCATCATCTTTCTCAATCTGTGGGGATTGAATTAGAAATAAATAGAAAGAAAAAAATTCAATATGATTTGTATAAATGAGGAATTGGGATAAAAATCAAAAAAAATTTACTAATTTTTGATAATTAATTTGGGTATATTGTCCCTTTCCAGTTTGCTTATCATTTACCCAATATCCATCAAATTAATTTCCATCAGCTTATTTAAATTTACCCTTCCCACTTTTTAAACCATTTATATATTCTCCATCATATTAATTTCCATTAGCCCATCTCATTTATCCCTTGCCAGTTTGCTAATCATTAATCCACTCTCCATCATAAAAATCCCCATTAGCCCATTTATATTAACCCTTTCCATGTTTTAAACCATTTAAATATTCACCATCATAGTAATTTCCATTGACCCATTTCATTTGACCTTTTCCAGTTCGCTTATCATATGCCCAATCTCCATCATATATATCTCCATTAGCCCATTTAAAAATACCTTTTCCCATTCGCTAATCATTAATCCATTCTCCATCATATAAATCACCATTTGCCCATTTATACTAACCCTTTCCATGCTTTAAACTATTGAAATAATCTCCATCATATTAATTTCCATTAGCCCACTTCATTTGACCTTTTTCCAGTTCGGTTATCATATACCCAGTCACCATCATATTAATCTCTTTTAACCCATTTCATTTGACCTTTTCCAGTTCGCTAATCATTTATCCAGCCTCCTTCAAATTAATCTCCATTGGCCCAAATATATTAACCCTTCCCATGTTTTAAGCCATTCAAAAATTATCCAATATATTAATTTCCATTAGTCCATTTCATCTGGCCCTCACCAGCTTGCCTATCATAAACCCAATCTCCATCATATTAATCACCATCAGCCCATTTAAAAATACCTTTTCCCATTCGCTAATCATTAATCCATTCTCCATCATATAAATCACCATTTGCCCATATATACTAACCCTTTCCATTTTTTATACCATTTAAATAATCTCCATCATATTAATTTCCATTAGCCCATCTTATTTATCCCTTACCAGTTTACTTATCATTTACCCAATCTCCATCATATTAATCCCCATCAACCCATTTAAAAATACCTTTTTCCATCCTTTAATTATTTATCCAGTCTCCATCATATATATCTCCATTAGCCCATTTATATTAACGCTTTCCATGTTTAACACCGTTTAAAAATTCTCCATCATAATAATTTTCACTTCCCCATTTCATTTTACCCTTTCCAGTACGTTTATCATGTACCCAGTCTCCGTAATATTAATCTCCATTTGCCCATAGATATTGACCTATTCCATGTTTTTAACCATTTAATTATTCTCCATCATATTAATCTCCATTATCATAGTTTACTACCTTTTTTACAGTTAACTCTTAAGAACCAGAACTCATCTTTATCCAAAAATCTTTTTTATAATAATAAATGATAAAATTCCAAATTTTATTACGTCATTTCAATACTTAAACAATTAAAAAATAATATGAATCAGCAACTAGCCTTAGATTTGTTTATAGTCTTCATTAATTTGAAAATACAGTATACAACTTTTAAACCCAAAATTATTGAACTCTCTCCAAAAAACATTCATTTATGTGTCAAGGTTGTTTAATGGTTTACAAGAGTATAAGTATTGATTTAAATATGAATTCAAAAAAGCAAAATCAGCTGGATTCTAAATAATAATAACTTTCATCTCATTTTAATATTGGAACAAAATTATTTTATAAAAAATGTTTTTGCAAAACATATATTTATCCTAAAATATCTCTAATATATTCCTAAAGGTGACAGGTGACTGAGTGTTTTCCACTTATTATTTTTTTTATCATCAGGTGATTCATAATGCAGGCTAAAATACTATTTGAATAATACTGAAATGAAAAAACTAACTACACAAAGTTTTTGAATCCTCATTTATAATAAATTTTCTAACAACATTTTCATTATTATTATTATTTAGACGTTAAAATTTTAAATTCCCTAATTTGTTTTGAAAAACACACTGTTTATTTACAAAATTGTTTCTGTTTCTATTAAATAGAAACTATTAACTCTAGATTTAATTAATCAGATTTATTATTCCCATTTTATTGAATGATTCGTATCAATGGTTTTATGCCATAAATTCAATTTTATGTCTTGTTTTATTTAATCAATAAATATGATAAATTACACTATTTTTTTTTTTAATTTTACAGATCTTTTTAAATTATTATTCAAATTGTCTTAAAAAGTGAATAACCAGAATTAAGATTAAAATTTTTCTAAAAATGTAAAAGACATCAGCAAATTTTGGGACTAATTTCTATATTTATTAATTTGCTTAGTTAAATTGGAAAATTTTATAGAACAATTCTATAAAGCATACAACTTTTTTTCTCTTGTTTAGCAGTTTCATTCAAATCTATTCTTCTGATTTAATTTTAATTATAGTTTTTGTCCCTTAAAGAATAAAGTCAAATATTACTATTTCTAAGAAATCATATAATTTACTTCTTCCTTAATTTATTGATAAGAGATAATAGATTAGATCTATCAAATCAATTTATGATGAGAACCTTAGTTAATTATATGTGTTGGATTTATCATGATTCAAATATAATATATAATTTATATCCTCTCCTAATTAATATTATTAAAATAATTATTTANATTTAAATATGAATTCAAAAAAGCAAAATCAGCTGGATTCTAAATAATAATAACTTTCATCTCATTTTAATATTGGAACAAAATTATTTTATAAAAAATGTTTTTGCAAAACATATATTTATCCTAAAATATCTCTAATATATTCCTAAAGGTGACAGGTGACTGAGTGTTTTCCACTTATTATTTTTTTTATCATCAGGTGATTCATAATGCAGGCTAAAATACTATTTGAATAATACTGAAATGAAAAAACTAACTACACAAAGTTTTTGAATCCTCATTTATAATAAATTTTCTAACAACATTTTCATTATTATTATTATTTAGACGTTAAAATTTTAAATTCCCTAATTTGTTTTGAAAAACACACTGTTTATTTACAAAATTGTTTCTGTTTCTATTAAATAGAAACTATTAACTCTAGATTTAATTAATCAGATTTATTATTCCCATTTTATTGAATGATTCGTATCAATGGTTTTATGCCATAAATTCAATTTTATGTCTTGTTTTATTTAATCAATAAATATGATAAATTACACTATTTTTTTTTTTAATTTTACAGATCTTTTTAAATTATTATTCAAATTGTCTTAAAAAGTGAATAACCAGAATTAAGATTAAAATTTTTCTAAAAATGTAAAAGACATCAGCAAATTTTGGGACTAATTTCTATATTTATTAATTTGCTTAGTTAAATTGGAAAATTTTATAGAACAATTCTATAAAGCATACAACTTTTTTTCTCTTGTTTAGCAGTTTCATTCAAATCTATTCTTCTGATTTAATTTTAATTATAGTTTTTGTCCCTTAAAGAATAAAGTCAAATATTACTATTTCTAAGAAATCATATAATTTACTTCTTCCTTAATTTATTGATAAGAGATAATAGATTAGATCTATCAAATCAATTTATGATGAGAACCTTAGTTAATTATATGTGTTGGATTTATCATGATTCAAATATAATATATAATTTATATCCTCTCCTAATTAATATTATTATGATTATCTCTATTTTTTAATTATAATTTAATTTATTTATACTATTTTATTTCACTTAAAAATTTTTAATTAAAAAAAATATTATTATATTTACATAATATTACAATTATCAAAATCATATAAAGGCAAGATAAAAATATTTAATAAATCAATAACATTTAGAAATAGAAAAAAAGAAAAGAATCGAATTAAATTAAATTAAATTAAAGAGTTTTAAAATCTAAACTAATTCATCTTCAGGCTCATGAATGAAAATTCAATTAATTAAATGAATCATATTGTGTAATTTCTATTAATATAAATTAATCAATTTTAGTAGCTCATGTTCATATGATAAATAAAAATTAGTAAAAAAATAAAAATTGGATGAGTCTAATACAGGATTGAAAATAAAATAAAATAAAAAATCTTTACTTTAAATTTAATTATTAACTAATTAAATATCACATATACTTAAAATGATTATAATTTATAATGTTAGCCATTTATTACTATTGTAATTTAATACTACTTGTTTGAAGTTCATTAATGAATTTTAACCAAATTTAATCAATAAATAAATGAAATATATATCCCTCATCTTTAAATCCCATCCAAGTGATATTTTCCAGTAATGATATCTTGATAATTTTATAAATTAGTAATGGAGTGTCAACTTTAAATAAACTGATATGAAGAGTATTATGTACTCATTTAAATAATATGATACGCTATTATCATATAAAGAATTGTGACTTTTGAATTCTAAATTTATTCGAGGAATTTAATTAGCTTTATATAATATTGTTTTAAGAAAATTTGTAAATTAGAAACATTTAGAATCATGAATAAATGATTTTAGAACTATCTTATTATCCATTTTTTCAAATCATAGTTTTATATATACATTCATTTATTGCATCTTCAAGAGTAAAACGTTAAATTATTGTAATAAGTAATATTTTAATATCTAAAAATAGGAAAATATCAAATGTTTTAATGTATTATGATTATAGATTTAATTTCTAATCTTACAACACAATACTAGAATAGTATAGCTATTTTACAATGAATACTTTGCAAACATTTTAAATTACTTTAAGATTGATATCATAAACTAACTAAATATTAAAAATATTATTTAGTAAAATCCATGAGACATAATCAAAAATGAGATGTTCTGTAATTTATTTATATTCAATTTCTCAAAATTTTCTCATTCTGAAATAAATAATCAAAGTATAAAAATGATTAATTTGATTCAAATAAAAAATAGATAAATAATTGATTTTTTGAATTTTCAAATGCAAAATGTTAATTCTTTCATAGGTATTAAATCATAATAGCTATATCAAGCTCATATATTACACTTTAAATACTTGGATACATATTATTTATTACCTTTTTTTTTACAATTGATTTTGGTCCTAAAAAGTTATCTCCAAATCATAATCCTTTAAAAATCAAATAAGTAATAACTCTGTTCTCTTCTAAAATAGTAATGTATAAGTAATATTAATAATCAAATTTTCATTCGAATGGTATAGCATTAGTATGAGCTTTCAGATTACTTTTAGATGAGGATTATCAGCAAGCATAATTTAATAACTTAAATAAAAACTTACTTATCCAATCACTGAATCATTTCTGAAGAAGAAAAAATTGTAACATTTTTCATAAGTTCGGTCTGGAAGAGTTACAAAGTTTTTCTTAGATTCATTAATATTACTGTGATAATCAGTGTTTATCAATATATAAACATAGTTTCTCGAATTTAAATCAAGACTCTATTTAATAATTTGAGAAGATAAAATAAGTTTTAATTTTTAGAATGAAATTTCAATATTGAAAATATTTTACTATTATTCTATATATTTGAAATTCTATTTCAATCATCCACTATCAAAAAGAAATACTATCCACTTTGAGAAATTTAATATAAAAACACAGATATAATTTTTATGATATTGATGTATAAATTCCTATTATAGATTTGATATTTACAAATCTTTTATATGTAGTATTATATTTAGTCCATTAATTGCATTTATGTTCAATACTTAGTTCAATTATTATTAGAATGAAAAAAACGCTATGCAATAGTTTTGAATAAAAGTGGATCTAAACATCTATGAATAATTTAGATTTTAAATTAGGGTGATTAATAATGGTAAATGAAATTTGGAATCATTGCTGCAAGCATATACCATATATATTTATTGCTTTGCTTATAGTAAACTACAATAGAGTTTGATATCTTGTTTAAATAATATGTCTATCAAGAGTTGGAAAAAATTAATTAGAATAATTGGAAGAGATCACAATAATATCAATTCTATATGGGTTTTGTTTGTTGCATGATTCTAAATATAATTGAAGATTAATTATTTTCTGGAGGAAAATATAAATAAATTATTTTTGGTATGTTTATCTAAATAACTAAAAGTAATTTTTTTTTACTAATTAGAAAAAATAAGGATAGCAAAATGGAAATTAGTTAAACGAGTCTCAAAATCATTTGTTTCGTGTGGGGATGATTAATTAAAAAGAATTGTTGCTTGCTACTTAATGGTTTAAATACAATTGAGCTAACCTAAAAATTCCTCAAGAAATTCTATAATCTTCTTTTCTTAGTTCGAAAATGTAAAAATGCTATCAAAAAAAATTTTAATAAGCATTTGATTAACAAATACCTTACAAGGATTTGCATTTTAATATAAAATAAACTATTGTACATGTATTAAACACACATTGCAATAAATTTGGTGAAAAAATGATAATGGATAAAATATAGAGATTTCTCATTTAAAAAATTTATTATCAAATCATTCTTTAACTTTTGGAGAAAGCTAGGCATCTATTAATAAATAAATGTAGCTACACAATTAATTTGTTGTAAACATTGTAATATTTTTCCAAATTATCCCATCAAAAAAAAGGAAAAATACTAGACAAATATAATGAATCTCTTTAAGACTGTGTATCATGTTTTCAATTAATATTTACATAATTATTTGAATTATATTTATTCTTCTAATTGCTGATCAAAACTATATGAGAGTAGATTTTGGGGAATTCTTAAGTTGAGATACATTATTAATATACATCATAGCTTCCATAAATTTTATTATCCTGGTTTTTTTCTTTATAAATCACCGATGCTTAGAAAAATTATGTATTTCAAACCAATAATTGATTTAATTTATAAATAAATATTGAAAGGAAAAAGAAACTACTTCCAATTTGATTAATCAGCGAATAAGTTAAATGATTTTTAGTTTTTTAGAAAATGAAAGTACCTCATTTTAGAATAGAGATTGTTTACTAAATATAATCATAACAAGGAAAAATTTCTAAATTAATTCATATTCTTATATGTTTTGCGAGAAAAATGCTAATTAGAACTATTTAAATGAAAAAATTCAAAGATTGAATTATGAGATGACCTTCAAGAGAATTTCTAATCTTTATTTTTACAATATTATAAGAATAAGACCAAAATCTAGTTTTGCAAGTGTAAAATTTGATAAGTTAACCAACTATTAGAATGTTGAGTTATTTGCTCTTGTTTGATTAGTGAAATTAAACTAGAAATATATTGGTATCACTTTGTATCATAATTTATCATGCTAAGAAGAAAATATTTTAAATGCGGGCTTTATTCAAAGAATGCTACAATATTTATCTATTAAAGAATTCAAATATATTCAATATGATGAAAAGAAATAAAAGAAAAAGGATTGTTGGAATTCATAAAATTGTTTTCAATCCGCAAAAAATTGCAAAATTTTAATTTTAAAAACCTTTTTAAAATGGCTTATAAAAGTATAAATAAAGTTATTTTGATATTTTCTAAAGAAATGCAAAAATATTAAATTGGTTTTAAACATATTGGACTAATTGAAACTATTTAACTCTGTTGTTAAGCTAATCCCCCTGAACACAACTTTTTCTCAGTTCCTACTAGGTATTAATTTCGATCTATCACAATTCTTAGCACATTTTCTAAATTGCTAGAACTCATATTTCTACCGAAAATTAAAAAATATTTAATGAACTCATTATCTTGAAATAAAAAAGAATTATTCCCTACTCATCTATTTAAATTATTATTTTTAATTTATTAAATCTCATTAATAATTAAACTAATAAAAGTAAAATAAATGGCATTTTTTTTATTTCAGCTATGCTTTTAATACTGTCGATAGTAATAGGTTTAGAAATAGGAGAGTAAAAATAAATTTTATATCAATGAGAGTTGGATTTCCTAAGATAACTTCATTCTTACTTTCATTTCATCTATTAAAAAATATTTTACAAGATGCTTTTAAGCCATTTTCTTGGAGTTACTCAAGAATGGATCCAAGCTATATTTGTTTTTCAATACATGCTTGTTCAAGTTTATAAACCAACTTCTCTTTTGTTATTACTTTTTTGAAAATTTATCCAATCATTACCTTTTCTTTTTCAATTAGTAAACATCTGGTCAAGGCAAAATTGAGCAGAATTGAGCAACTAATAATAAATAATATTAAATCTGGAATGTTTAGGTTTTAAAATTAATGCAAAATGTATCGATTAAACTTTCCTTACATCTTTATTTAGTTCTGAGTTTGTAAAAACCTAATTGATTAATAGTTCTTTGATGAATTTTAATTATTATGTTAGGACAGTCATAAAAGCAATTACATACTATTATTCGTAGTTTGAACTAGAATTTTATATCTGAATTCTAAAATTTATTTGATTTCTAAGAATTTATATGATTGCTTATGCATTTCTAAGTTAACTAGTATGATAACATATGCAATTTATAATACATAAAATCTTACTAAAAGAAAGGATTTAAACTTTTAAAACTCAGAATAAGAGACAAAATTGTTCTATATAATGTAAATTGTTTTCTCTATTTGATGAAAGAATGCTCAATCAGAATTCTTTATCAAATACCAAGAGTAATAGAATTAATCACCTTTACGAATGTAGACAAGAATTATGGATTCTAAAAAATATCAGGAAAGCTAAACAAAGAAATTTATTATTTAGAAAAAACTAAATGAGCAGAAATCAAAAAAGGAATGCAACCTGAATTTAGTTGCAAATTTTATAAATTCTATTTCTGCTTTGAGAGAATAATAATTTAAATCTAATTATAATGCCATTTTATTCAGATTATTAATTAACTAAACAAATATATTTTCGAAAATAGCTACTTTCAAATATCAAGTATACATATTTCAACTTTAATAGGTCTTATGGATCAAAAGATTTATCTATCAACATGAAACTTAAGAGCTAAAAAACTCAATATCAATTTATTCAGACACTTTAGATAAATTTGAATTAATTAAGTTAGCTTTAGGCTTGATGTTGTTCTAAAATAAAATTGAGAATAAGGATTTTAGATAATTGCCCCATTTCAGGGTAGCCAGTTATAACCCAGGGCTTGGGGTATTAATCGCACTCTAACCATTCTGTATTTCGCGCTAAGTATCTCATTCACACGCCATAGAGAAGCAAACTCTTGACACACTCATTGCGGGCAGACTCCAACAGGCTTCTCAAAATCAACAAAATGACAAACCACTTGGTCATGACAGACTATCAATTCATATAATCAAAATTTAAAAATTCAAAAAAATCCAGATTAAAAATTTTTAATCCAATTATCTTTCTAAAGAAAATTTTCAAATAGCTCCAGCATACTTAGCACAAAGTCTCTCTCAGAATTGTAATAAAGTATCCCTCAAAGGGAAAAGAAAAGAAAGTGTGGGTCTTCTCTTTAATTTCTATCCACTTCTCACTCCCAAGTAATTCTAAGAAGTTAGGACCAGCCGTCCAGGCTCATTATAGCTGAATATCGTACCGATTCCATTAAAAGGCAACAAAAAGGTGGACATAAGAAAGGACCCGCAAATAAATTTTTTAGAATAATTTATAATAGATATTGGACTCTCCTATTGTGAGTTCCTAAAGGTATTGAATTGTTTTAATCTCTAATAAACTAATCTTAGATCAAAATTATGTTGGATCTTTAGTGAAATATGTTGGTAATTTAAGTTATATTATTATGAAATGTTTATTCTTCTCCCTGTATTTTATTTTTGTGCTAATTTCAATTTAGAGTATTAGTTTATAAATATGTTGCTTATTTATCTATATAGATAGGTATTAAAAAACAGTTCTTAAAAATTTTAATTAAGTCTTTAAATTTTAGGGTAATATGTCGTATACATCACTTTAGGTTATCATTTAAACATTCTATTAGTAATATTCGACATTTCACATATCTATTAATTTAGCCTCTGAGTAAAGAAAGGGATACAAAAGGTTTAGAAGGAATAAAATTTCTTATCAACAAACTTTAGGTATAATAAATAAGTATAGAAAATAAATTATTGAATTTTTGAAATCGAACCTAACATAATTATTATAGATGTAAATAATTAGAAAAAATAAAATCGCAATTAGAAACGCAAGGTTATATTTTTTAAAAATATTTATCAATTTTAGTAATAATAGTTTATACCATAAAAATTAGATCAAATTAAGAGAAAAATAAAGACTTAAACTCAATCTTGATTAATCTCTAATATGAGCCGAATCGATAAAATTGATGAGTTAAATATATTATTAATAAAAAATTTTGCATTTTTATTACAATATATCTTAGAAGTTAAAATCAATAATTTAATCATTCCATATTCTAATGAGATAAAACTCTTCTAATGAATTTAGCTATCCCTTAATGGGGGATTCACATTTATCTTCTTGAATTTCATTGTTTAAAAAAATTTTTCTTCTCATTTTCTGTAATTGATAAGATACTTTTTAGACCTAGTATTAGATTTTTAAAAAGTAATAGAAATATATAATAGTTTATATTTCTATTATGTAAAACGAAGAATTGTATTAGATTTTAGCAATCTCCAAAGATGTCGATGAGTATATATTCAGTGGACTTATTAAAATGTTTAGAGAAAACAAAATTTAAGATTGTATAGGATATCTTTAACAATATTAAAATCAAAATGATTTTGAATAATATATTCCTAGAGGATGGAATCTTAAAACTGAATAAAAACAAAATTCTATAAGAAATAGCATTAATTTAACTACTAAAACTATAAAGGAAATTAATGAACATGACTTTAATAAAAATAATTATTCAACAGAATTCTATAGAGAAACTAGATAGAAATTAATTAATAAAACATCAAATGATAAAAGGATTGTCGAATTTTTTAAATTTTTAGTTCACCTTACAGCTATAGATAATAAATTCATCCAATGCGGATCAAATTCACTTAATTTATTAGTTGGGATGAAGGTTGATTTAACAAAAACTTGTTTTTAAGATATTTAAATTAAAGATACTTCATTGATTGGAGCAAATTTTGTAAAATGTAATTTAAGTGGATCTGTTTTTGTGAATGTAGATATTAGTGGAATCAATCTTAATGGAGCTTAATTATTTAATTGTAAATGGAATAATTTGAAAATACATGAATTACATCAATTGGATAGTTGTGTTTTTCCTCATGGAGATAGATCAGTATCAAGTAATAATTTTAAGCCTATTTGCTTATTAGATATTAAGACTAGATAATTACAAGCCAAATTAAATGGCTATACTCATTATGGTTAATCAATATGCTTCTCTCCTGATGGCACTAAAATAGCTTCTGGTAGTATATATAAGTTTATCAGAATATGGTATGTTAAGACAGGACAATAAATAGCCTAATTAGATAGTCATAGTGATTATGTCCGAATAATATGTTTCTCACCTGATGGTAATACATTAGCATCAGGAAATTCAGAATACTCTCTCCATTTATTCGATATTAAGACTGGATAATAAAAATCAAAATTAGATGGTCATAGTAATTTTGTCTAGTCAATATGCTTCTCTCCTGATGGCGCAACCTTAGCTTCAGGTAGTGATGATAAATCGATTCGTCTATGGAGTATTTATACAAGAAAAACCATATTTATATTGTAAGGACACAGTCAACCTGTAATTTCATTATGCTTTTCTCCTGATGGTACTATGTTAGCATCAGGTAGTTAAGATGAATCTATTCTTTTTTGGAATGCTAGAACTGGAAAATAAAAAGCCAAAATAGATGGGCATGCATCTAATGTCCAATCAATATGCTTCTCTCTCTATGGCGGCACTACATTAGCATCTGTTTGTGAAGATAAATCTATCCATTTATGGGATGTTCAATAAAAACAACAAAGAGAAAAATTAAGTGGTCATCAAAGAACAGTCTATGCAGTCTGCTTTTCACCTGATGGTAGTATATTAGCATCTGGTAGTGCAGATTGGACAATCCGTTTATGGGATGTTCAAACAGGAAAATAACAAAGCCAATTAGATGAACAAACAGATTATGTCTATTCAATATGCTTCTCCCCTAATGGAACTACATTAGCATCTAGTAATTAGTATAATTCTATTCGATTATGGGATGTGAAGACAGGATAATAAAAAGTAGAATCAGATGGTCATAATAAAAATGTTAAGTCAGTTTGCTTTTCACCTGATAGCACTAAATTAGCATCTGGGAGCACAGATAATTCCATCTGTTTATGGGATGCTAATTCAGGAAAATAAATAATAAAATTAGTTGGTCATACTAGTACTGTTTTTTCGGTATGCTTCTCTCCTGATGGTGAAATTATAGCTTCTTGTAGTGATGATAAGTCTATCATTTTGTGGAATGTTAGCACAGGACAATAAAAGGCAAAATTAAATGTTCATTCTTACTCTGTCAATGCGGTCTGCTTTTCCCCTGATGGTACAACATTAGCATCTGGCAGTGATGATATGCCTATTCTTTTATGGAATGTTTAGACAGGAAAACAAAAGGCTAAATTAAAAGGTCATACTAGTACTGTTTATTCAGTTAGTTTCTCACCTAATGGGAAAATTTTAGCATCAAGTAGTGCAGATAATTCAATTCGTTTATGGGATGCTAAGACAAATAAAATAATATTCAAATTAGTTGGTCATACTCATAGTGTCTGGTCAGTCTGTTTTTCACCTGATAGTTCTACATTAGCATCTGGTAGTGTGGATAATTTTATCCTGTTATGGGATGTTAAGAAAGGAAAATAAAAAGCAAAATTAGTTGGTCATAAAGGTGCAGTCTATTCAGTAAGTTTCTCCAGTGATGGCAAAATACTGGCATCTGGAAGTGAGGATAAATCTATTCTTTTATGGGATGTTAGCACAGGAAAATAAAAGGCATAATTAGATAATCATATTCACTATGTAAATACAGTCAGCTTCTCTCCTGATGGTGCTACATTAGTATCAGGTAGTGCTGATGCATCTATCCGTCTCTGGAATATTAAAATAGGATAATAATAATCGTAATTGGCTGTTCATGATAATGGAGTACTATCAACAAGCATTTTTTCTGAAGGTAATACATTAGCATTTAATAAAGTAGATCAATCTATTAGTTTATGGGATTATAAAACAGGCAAATAAATTTTACCCTCAGATAACTGTTTTAAAAGTATTATTTTATAATTAAAATCGCAAAAAAGTTAAACCAATCTGCTTCCATTAGATTGTATTTATTTAATTATTTTATAGCCACCTCTAATATTACTATTGCTCTTATATCCCAATAGCTAATATTTTAATCATAAGGGGCTTTCATTTTGTATGGAGAATTTTTCAATCAATCAGGCATTGATTTAAGGACATTATTCAAATAAAGAGGAAGTTACATTTTGGAAAATTTAATTGAATCGTTGTTAACTTAAAATTGATTATTTAATAACATTAAAATAAAAGATGAAAAATGTAACAACTCCGTTCTTTATTTAAATGGTTTTTTATTTAAGATAATTTTTATTGTTATTGCTATTTTTATTTAAGAATCTAATCTAAAAAGATGAAGATAATAAAAAAAAATAAAGGAAAAAGTTACAGGACAAATAAATATAATAAGTAATCGGAAAATTCCATTTATGGATATAAATCAAAATTCTTTTTAATTAGTTAAAAAGAATAAGATATTGAATTTCGTGTATAACTCTTAGTAAGCTCCTAAATTTATTTTCTTTTTAATAAAAAAATTGGTTCAACAGTCTCTTTAAATATCTACTAGCTACCCAATGAAGTGGATTGTTTGAATTATATAAAAAAATTCAGAGGACATGTGAAAAATTTCAATTAAATCTTCAATTTATTTAGATTTTTCTTTCAATTCTGTTCATTTTATGAATAAATATTGGAAGACTCTTATAAGTATATTTAGACTAAATGGAATAGATGAAAAATATGCCATAAGCAGGAAAAAAATAATATAAAAAAAATAATTCCAGAACGTCATTGTGTAACTTAGTTTCATCCTGGAAAAGTTTAATCTTTTTTTAATAGAGATCTAAATCATACCTTAACAGAAATATATATTAAAAAATTTTTTTTGTAGTAAAAGTGTTAGAAATAAAAGCGCCTGTTCTAGTGGAAGTTTTTGAATCTTATTAATCTTTGCGATATTACGCAATTGATAAAGTGGTCCTCATTATCTTTTTTATTATCTCTCAACTAAAATTCAAATTTATAACCTTACTATATAATTAATTAATTTTTCTATTCTTTTTTTAAGCAATTTTTTAATGAATATTATGGATTATAGAATTAATATTCTAAAATTCAATTTTAGGTTTTTGTTGGTTTAATTAAGTGATAACTTTAGAATGTGAATATTCTTATTAAATTTCACTGATTAATAAGCCTAAAGATATATCTTTCTACCAACAGGATAGTTTATTACATCTAGTAGCTTGAAATGATTGTGCATAATAAATATTACTACTTTTTTTCTTCATCTTTTTTAAACAATATTTGATCTAATATTTCTCTAGTAATTACAGATAAGTATAAGTATTATATGAAGGATATTTGTGGCTTTGTCATCAGTAAATTAAAAGCTTAAAATACAGTAGCTTGCTATCTCCAGTAACTCTATTTAATAATCATTAAGTAAATATTAATTAAAGCAGGAGAAAGTGGAGATCTTTGAGATACTCCATAATTAAACAGTATGCTCTTGTCTCCTCATTCTTTAAAAAATCATAATATTTTATTGATTATAAGACTTTGTTTTTAATTTTTTGTTATTGCATTTAATGAAATTAGATCATATTATTATAGCATATTATTTTATTAACGAATAAATCGTTAATATTAAAAACTAAGCGCTAATTATGTTGTGGAATTAAATAAATCTTTATATCTTCAAGAGTTGTATAGTTATCTGATATCTTAAATAAGAAAATTATTTAGAATTCTAAAAATATCAGAATATATTCTAACAATAATAATATATAAAGAGTCATATGATTTAATTCTTATTATTTAAAAAAATAACAAAGATTTAAATTTAGATATTTATTTATTGCTACGTAAAATCTCAAACTAATTATTGCGGTTAACTCACTTTCACATTCAATTATCTAAGATTCCTCAACAAATTTTCAAATCAAAATAGGATTTTGTAATGACATGGATTAAGATCTTAGAATTTTTAAAATCAGGATCAGGAAAATTATAGTTTAATGCAGATAACGGATATCCATTTTGTTAATGATGTACAGGCCAAAAAAAGTATAAATGTAAAAATGATATTTTGGATTACTTCAAAACAATATTTGTCCACCCTGTCCATTTCATTAATGTTGAGAAACTACATGGATGAAGAGATAGTGATGATGTTAATACTCCAATTTACTATAATTTTATATATTTCTATTGGAATATAATAGTTAATTGAATTGGTATCAAAAAGTTAGTATAAAATGTAATTTTATGGATTAAAATGGATGACACCAATTAAGAATAGATACATTTCTAATTGTAAATTATGGTTTTTTAGAAGTTTTTAAGTTAAATTCTAATACATAAAAGTTTTTCAAATCTTTAACTACCTATTCTTATACAATACATATAATTGGTTTGTAAATATTAATTTAAGCCTTGAATGATGTCTCACTTTATTGTGAAATTTCGATATTGATTAATAATACTTAATTTAGTTCGATTTATAGAAATTAATCATGAATGTAATCACATAATATAAATATCTATTCAACCATTACCTATGGTTCATTTTTAAATTCTAACTCAATTAAGAAGTATTAATTAATTGCAAACTTTGATGCTCTTAAAAAACCATTTCTTTTTTCAGTTTTGGAAAATTATTTATAAAAATTCATATATTTGATAATACTGCAGAATAGGGATTTTAAAAATATTTTGAATAACTATAGGATTTTGTCCCTTGATACTGTTTATTGTGAGAGGTAAACAGAAATCATTTTTGTATAATTATATCATTTAAATGAAAGACTTGTAAAGTTATATCCTATATGTATAAAAATAATATATAAAGATTAGCTTTAAGTACAATATATTTGCATTCAGGGTTGTTGGAAACGATATTAAAAATTAAATGCTACGATTTTGATGATGAAACACCTTGTGTCAACTTTCTATATATTTAGACTCTTAATATTCATCTTAAGACTTAGTATATTTTGCACACGATATTGCATACAATAAACTAATTTTTTCAGACAAGGAAAAAATTTATAAGGATCGAATATATTTATTCTTTTTTTTGTATCTGGATATACTTCATTAATGAATTTTTGGGGGTCCTCTTATATGTTCATAGGCTAAATTTAAAAGATTTATCATGTAGACCCAAATCGTAGGATCACCTTTACATTTTAGATGTTTTATAGCCTAATATTCATTTTGGATGGTTAATTTATACATTAAGTGGAAAATAATCCACCAGCTTCTTAATCAATTAGCAATATTATTGATTTATATTCTAACTATGTAAAATAGGATAGAGTGAATGGAAAAATAAATCTCGATACAACAAAATAACAATATATTGGGAATGCTTTGGATCAAATAATGAACAGTTGATGCTTATTTTGGATTTTATAAGTATTACATTGCTGTTCATAAATGCAAACTATATTTTTAATATGTTTAGATTAAATGATGCAAATGTTCTTCAATACTCATAAAAATTAATGCTTAATTAACTAATATTTTGATAATGATTCTTAGAGATGTTGGGATTGCCAAATATTATGTTCAATATGTACGTCAAAAATAGATTGTTAAACATGTATATTTACTTATACCTAAACTACATACTATATTATCTGTAAAATGAATCAATTTGAAGACTAAAATCAATTTCTAGATTGTTCAGTTGAATGTAATTAATTTTTCCAATGATTGCTTAAATTGCAATAATCGTGAAGATATAAGATTAACTTGTAGGTGTCCAATAAGATTATTTTATTATGCAAAACAAAAATCATGATCCTAGTTTCACTCATCATGTTGAACTTGCTTTTAAGGGACATTTGATAGTTTTTTAACATGCAATGAATTTTTAAATAGAATATTAAAAGGAGTAACATGTGTATTTGTACAGGACTTTATATAATTTCCGGAGTTTATTGAGCTAGTTGTTTAACCTTGGATGAGTAAAGTAAGATGAGGAGATTAATTTAAAATTGGAAAGAATAATATGAAGAAAGTAATCAAATTGAAACAGATGTATGTAATTTTCCTATAGAATTCAATGTTCTTCTTGTGATTATACTAATAATACTTGTTTAAGTTGAGAATTGCGTGGATTTAATCCAGAGAAGTTCTTATGCAAAAATACATTTTTGGAGATTAAAATCTAGTAGTAGAATCATCTGGATTTTAAAAAGAGTAATGTGATGATGGAAGTATATTTAAGTTTTATAATTTAATGGATAAACTAAATTAATTATATAGTTTATGATGCAATAACAATTATAAATGTGTTAACCATCATGGATATACTGGAGTTAATCGATTTTTAGAATCTGCCCATCATTTTTTTTTCTCTTAAGATAAATTATGTATTTCAATTTGTGGAGATTCAAAAATATAAGGATCCATTTTATTGTAACTTATTAGGGTTATTAAAATTAGAAACAAAATGCTATAATTAAAAAATGACTAATGAATATAATATAAATTTTAATGTGATAAATTTTTATTATTTTTTTGACTATGTTTGATTGATAATATCATTAATTCATCTGCAATAAATTATCTCTTATTCTTGAAATCATTAATTTGAATTAAATATAATTTCCTAATTAATTGATGAATTTCACTTTAAACATTTTGTTATCACAATTTAAAATCTAAACTGAAAACTTTAGATTTTCATCTGAAATTTCAACGTTAATCTACAATAAAAATAGAATATACTTTGTATTTTGACTCATGGATTTTCATCTCATTGGGCTAGAATTCCATAATTTTTTTGATTATTTAACAGAATATAATCTTTGGATCTTGATAGAGAACAAATTCATTTGTCAATACAATATCTATACTTTTGATTAGTACTCTATTAGCAAAAGTCAATTAATATTTTTCTATTATATCTGAGTAGTCTTTCTAAATTCTTTGCTCAGAGCTGCATCTAAAATCACCAATAGGTGTTTGTAAGTCAATATTTCTATTCACTTGATGTTATGTTTAAATTTGAACTATATTTTTTTTTTATCTGAATTCGTTTTAAATTTATTCTAATGTTGCGGTTGGTCCATTAGTCCATGGATGTTACATACATTAATCTAAAGTAAATCTTTGGTTGGGATTCGGAGCCAACATTCCATTAATAAGACTTCTATTAATTTATAATAAACATATGTATGTACATGAAATCATCTGTGATAAGGTCAGGAATCTTTTGATAAATTCTCTTCTATTTTATCCAAAATTCATTCTATCTATTATTTTCAAAATATTGGAACAAACTATCATTAGCAAAGGTAGATTCAAATGGTGGTGATCCAGTATAAAGAATAAATAAAATTACACCAGCAGAAAAAATGTCTGCTTTGTTTCCATTATATTCATGGTTTTTGGTTATTTCTGGAGCCATATATGCTTAATGTAATAACAATAATACATTAAGATCCACAATAAGTTTTTAACAATGCTGCTTCCTAAACTTTGCCTAATCCAAAGTCAGCAACTTTGAGATTAAATTATTGATCTAGTAAGATATTGTCCAATTTCAAATCTCTATGACAAATTCCTTTGTTTGTTATATATATCAGAACAGATAATAATTATTTGAAGTAAAATCTACAAATCTCTGGATTTAATTTTCCAAATCTTGCAATATACTCATAAAGTTCTCCATTTTCAGCATATTCTAATATAATGCATATTTGTTGTTCGATCTTTCCATTCTATTTCTTTTAAAATATTAATGAAAATATACTTTATATGGAAATGCTTAATTGAAATCTATCATATTGGTAATGTTAGGATGATCTAGTTGTTTGAGAATATTGATTTCATTAGCAAACATTCTAATGGTATAAGGGTTATCATCATTTCTTAGGAAGAACTTAATTGCCACTCTTTATCCATTCCTCTCACCTAATTTTACTCTAAAATATAGTTAATTGAAACTACAATCCAAATTGTCCTTTTCCTAATGTTGCGATTATTTAATAATCGTTGTATTGCTTGTATTTATTTTAACTCTAATCCATTTTTAAATAAAGATTTTTATTTGTCTTTTATTAATTTTAGAATTTTACAAACTAAATAAATCATCTTGTAGAATGATTAAATTATGTAATTAAACAAAAATAATTAAGTATATGGCTCTTAAATTATAATTCTCGTCTATTAAATACCAAAATTCAATAGATTTAGAATAATAAATATATCTAATAATTTTCTAATTCATTTACAGTTTAAATAGCAATATAATACTCTAAATAAGATAAACCAAGCATTACCCTCACAATTAATCATTATTTTATTAAAATCTTACAATATTCCAATACAATCAATTTATTAAATAATAAAAATAACACAATTAAGAAATCAAGTTAAAATAGTAGTGATTTATAGTAGAAATAAAGAAATATTATATCAATTACAATTTATTAAAAATCAATTTACTGCTTTTTAACTAAAATCTAGATTAATTATTTTTATATCATATATCATTATGTTGTTTTGATAATCTACACATTTTCTAAGTTTAAATTTACTAAAAATTTGTCACTACTTATCATTTGTTTTGATTTTCTAGATTTTATCTTAATTTATGTTTGCCTACTTTTATCTATTCAAAATATTGTTTAATTTACCAAAATAAAGAGGCTCACTCAAGCTTTAGATTGTCAATACAGTTTTGTTGATATGTCAAATATAAATTATCATACTAAATTAAAACTCAATTTTACATGAGTGATTTTTTATTTCCCATCCACATACATTTTCTATTCTATACTAACTTATATAAATTATCTCTAAATTTATTATATAAATCAATCCATTTTGCAAAATTAACTCCATCACATATTTCATCATAAAATTAATCATCTGTTTGATGATTAATTTATATTAAATAACATAAATTATCAGAATAGTTTATCACTTTCATTCCTATACTCTTTATTCTATATACCAGCCTTTTCACCATGATTATACTCACAAATATGAGTTACTTATTTCTTTTTATAATATCCATCATCGAAATCGATCCAATTACCTTACTTCAAAGCTTAATTATTATATGATAATCCAACACTACTGAAATTATCAAAAATAAACATAATTAGGTTATCATAGGTATAAATGTTTCTCCCACATAGTTAATCATTTATTGTCCACTTTCATAAACTTGACTGCATTAATACATTCTTAATTTATTTTTGCTTCAAGCTTCTTTTAATATATCCCCATAGTAATCCCAAATATCTAAAAGTGCTTTTTTCCAAGTAGCTACCCTTCTACCTTATTTTCTCTTGTTTTGATTTTATTCGCCAGGTCATTCAAGAGAATTTCAGTAGTCAATTATTGTAAAAGATCTTTTTGTTTAGAAAAAAGTTTGATAAATTAGAAAATATAACTATAATAAAATAAGTCCTAATTAATGAGGTTTAACCATGAATTAAGATTTAAGGAGATAAAATTAATGTAGATGTATACAAAGATTTTAGAATCACATCTAATAATTGATAGATTTTATACCATTCAATCAATCACTAAAGGAAATTAAAAATAATAGGAAGATTCATTGGTATTAAATCTATAAGCTACTTTTTATTTCAAAAATTGATTAAATCAAAGTATTTTTATCCTAATATAAATAAAGTGCAAGATTTTTAGTTATTATTCCCTCAATATTTCAAACTAATCAGACCCTATAATTTAGCATAAGTTCAAGAGATTAAAGTAGAATCTAAATTGTAATTTATATCAATCGATATAGTTAAATATCAAAATACATTAGATGTAGAGAAGACCAAAAAGGTTATGATTGCTTATACATATAAATGAATTAATTAAAAATATCAATTAATTTTAGAAATAAATTAATTAAATTTATATGATAATTCTAAATAACAAAATATTATCATTTTCTATCACTAAATTTAATCAATTATAAAAAATCGATGATTTGGCTGTGATTAGATTTTAAAGTGAGAGGTATGAATAATAAAGAGATATATTGATTGATGCATTAATCATTTTAATCTTAAAGTTTATATAATAGTTTTTCATTTACAATATTTTTTCATAAAATTCTGATTAATCTATAGATCTAAAAATAATCGAAAAAATGATATATGAATCAAGTAGATCAATTAATTAATACTGTTAATAACACATTCTAAGTTAATAAAAGGAAGAAAATTATCGAATTTATTTTCTATATATTGCTAAGTTAATTAAATTTATCAAATATTAGGTTGAAATATTTAATCCTTTTTTAATATATGCATAAGCAACTATAGGAACTCTTCCAGCACATCTTTCACTCATTTAATTATATCAAGAATTGTTAGCATTATATGAAATAAAATTGCTTGCTTTAATTATAAAAGAAATTAAAAATAGTATTAATAAAATGAATATATTTCTTTATTTGAACCTTTATAGACTGAAAAAAATATCTATCAAGATAAACTAACTCTCCACAATACAGTAAAATTCATATCATCGTATAATCAAAATAAATAGTTCTATTTAATGTATCTTTTTATGGCTGAATTAAGACTATTAAAATGATATTTGTATCAAATTTGTTATTTGAATTATTAATTTTGATTTTAATTTTTATAAATCTCTTTAAGGCAAAAAAGGAATGTTAAAACATGTTTTTTAAACTTAGAAAATGATATTTCATACTTTTTTAACATCTATACATAAAAATATTAACAAATCACATTAATTAAATTTTATACTTATAATATCAATATTAAAATCAAAAAATATATAATTATTCTCTCACTTTCTTTCAAATAAAAAGTGAAAGTTAAAAAAATTCTGAAGTTGAAATATATTAAATAGTTAAGAGTTATTTTTATAAAAACATTTTTTAAGATTCTTATTTATAATTTAATAAACTATTTTATCAACTTCCTTCCTTTCTATCCTGCAGATTGAAAGAAAATTTTAGAAAAATTTTTCAGTAATTATATTTACATCGCTTTTAAAATCCTAAGAATTTTTTTTCAATTTTAGGGTAAATAAACAAATAAGAAGTAATTCCAATAAGGATGATTATTAACAACTTTTAATTTATAAAACTTCTGTATTTATTCTACAAAAACACCAACTTAATTTACAAAAAAGTAAAATACTTATTGAAAATCGAAAAACCTTGTGATATAGTTTAATAATTTGATTTCACAATTATTAATTGTGTAATATATATGAAATGATTAAGAATAAGGTAATAAATTTTAATTTCAATAATATAATTTAAGTTGTTGATGATATATTTAATTATGTCACCACTTTTATAATATAAGCTCGCAAAAAATTTGAGATTTTATTATTAAAAATGAATAAGCTTTTAGCAATGGGAATGTTATCTTTAATAATAATTGGAATCACTTAATATTTTGATAATTCAGAACTAAATCTCTAATAGAGATTTGAAATTTATACAAGAAAATATGGAAAATTTTATGGTCCTTCTGAAAAGATCTTTAGAACTAAGATCTACGAAGAGAGAATTAAATTATTTGAAGCTCACAATTCTGATAAAACTTAAACTTATACTATGGGAGAGAATTAATTTACTGATTTAACCTAAGAAGAATTTGAGTCCATTTATTTAAGAAGAAGATCTTATTAGAAATAATAATTTGAAAATTATGTATCAACTTCTGAAACAAACTTATCTTCAGCAAATTGGGAAGGTTTAACTGCTATCAAAGATTAAGGTTAATGTGGAGCTGGTTGGGCTTTTGCAGCGATAGGAGCAGTCGAATCAATTTTAAGAATTGATGGTATCACAGATAAAGACCTTTCAGAATAATAATTAATAGATTGTGATTTAGAATCTTAAGGTTGTGAAGATGGAAACTTAGATAATGCATTAAATTGGGTTTTAAATAATGGTGTAACTACAGCCACCAATTATCCTTACACTGGCAAAACTGAAGCATGCAAAAGACAAACAGGGTTATTCTAAATTAAGGGATATTAAAAAGTTGATCCAAATTAAATGTAACCTGCAATTATTAAGTCTCCAATTGCTGCATCTGTTGATGGTTCAAGTTGGATATTCTATAAATCTGGTGTTTTTAATAGATGTTCTTTTGAAGAATTTAACCATGATGTTTTGATTATAGGTTTCAAAGATGATGGAACTTGGATAGTTAAAAATTCTTGGGGTCAATGGTGGGGAGAAAATGGTATTATAAGATTACCTAAAGGTAATTCATGTGGAATTTAAGAATAATCGTTTATTGCATATGCATGAATTTGATTTATATATTCCAATAAAATAAATAATATTAATAATAATATATAATAAACCCAAAGTCTCTATTTAAAAATATGATTATATGTTTAATAATTACAATTTTGATAGGTTAAATTCCTCATTTAGTATTGACTAATTTATAATGAGTAGTTTTTATTAAAAAAATTATCAAATTTATGACAGATTATATTTCACAGATATCAATTGAGGAAACTTTCTAGAATTTTCATTTAATATGTTCTAATGTATCTTTATTACATTATTTAAAATTAATCAATAACTATTATTAATTTAATTTCATAATTAAAATATCTAATTACATATATAATATTCTTACCTAAACCTTATGCTTACCCAGTTGATGATTTCTTACTTATTTAATTGAATATAATCATATTTCCAAAAATAAAAGTTTAACTATTTATTTTAGTAAAAGTTAATTTAAAATTTAATTATACTTCGTGAGCTTGATTAGATTTCATACTATAAACTATATAATATTAACTAACTATCAATTGTTATTCAATTCAATATCAAGTGATATTTTAATGCACTTCATTTTATATTTTTGATCCAGTTTTATATAAATATTTAAAAACTATTTAACAATTGTTTTATTAAATGTTGAATTAAAATTAGATCCATATTTTTTATTTTCAATTGTATAAGTGTAATAGTTGAGCTCTTAGAATAAAAAAGTAATTTAATTGTAATGAGAATCAAGGATCTAACTTTAGATAAGATTATTATTGATAATCTAAATTTGGTTATTGTCATAAATAGATTCTTCACTATTTACTATATCTGTGTCTTACAATAAAATTTTGATATAACCCAGGATCTAATAATATATATTATTTAAGGATTCTTTTAATTAGATCATATTCAAACTAAATTGCTTTCATTAATTGCCTAAACAAATAAATGCTTCATATATTAGCAACTAAATTTTTAATAACAAAATTATATCTATTAGGAAAAAAGGACATTTTTCTGATTGATTAATCTTAACTTAAAATAATTTTATAAAAGGGGATTAAGTAAGAGTATGATATATTGTCTTAATAAATAATGGATAAAAAGAATAAACAAAAAATTCATCTACTGAATAATCTTGATACTGACTTTTAATCATAAAATTAGAAAATTACTATAAGTTATTGTTAACTTAGTTTATCCAATAAAGTAGAATTATTTTTTTCTATTTTATAATGATTGAACTTTATTTATTAAGATAAAAAGACTATTTAAAAAATGCAATCATTAATAAGATAGAAAAAGAATATTATCATAAGATTTTTAATACCATAATAATAATAATAATTTAAGCATATATCAACCTCATCAATTTTCGAAAATCATTCAAAGTATTAAAATAAAAAGTAATTTTAAACATATTAAAAATGAGTTTTAATAATCAGTTATTTTGGTTTTTATTTTCTATTTTATTTGAAATTTGAAATTTAGTTATAAACAAATATGATGGTATCCATATAAATAGAATAAAATTATTAGTATTTTCATGTCTTACATTTAACAATATTCATATTTCTATTAAGAGTATATATTTAATATTATTTTCATCTTATAAATATTTAATGTATCATTTAATTAATTAACTATTATAAAGGACATGTATAAATGCATATAAGAAAATCATGAAAACGAAGCCATAATGGGTTTTTGTTTTAATTCTAAGTGTTAATGTACTTCCTAATATTGTATCAAATGCTTAATTGAATTACATTAAGGTCATCAATCTGATTGCATTGGATTATTAACAATTCCTGATTTTATAAATAAATATATTTCATATTAGGATTAATAGATAAAAAATTCAAAAGATATCTACATTCGAGTAGAAAAGAAGATTGTTTCAAATATGAAAAGAATGGATGAAAATATTTAAAATCTAACAATTTTGGATTAAGCATTAAAAAACTAAGATTACATCAAATTAAAATCATCAATCAATTTTATAAAAAAATACTATATATAAGAAATATAAAATGAAGAAGGTTTATATTTTATTTAATATTTTTAGATTAATTCATAAATTAATTAAAAGAAATCGAAAAGATCTTAGAATTATAGGAAAACAAGTAATATGAATTACAAAAAGCAGAAATACTATTCCAATAGGCTATGTAATTAACCAATTAAGGTAAACACGAAGAGGCTCTGAAAATTTATGATAATTCATTGTCTCTATTAAATATAATAGATAAGGTATTTACATGGAAGGGTATTATAATTAATTTATTATTCTAGGTCAATCATTATTATCTTTATAAAGACTATAAGAAGGAATTAAATGTTGTGATTTGGCAATTTAATTAAATCCTAAAAATGATATTGCGTACAACAATAAAGGTATAATTATTATTAATTCATAATAAATAGCTTGGGCATTAGATAATTTAAATCGATATAAAGAAGCTATTGAATGTTGTGATAAAGCTATTTAGTTTAATCCTCTGAATGATATGGCTTTTAATAATAAAGGTATTCCTTTGACAAATTTAAAATAAATAGGTTGGGCATTAAGCAATTTAAAGTTATTTCATGAAGCTACTGAATGTTATGATAAAGCAATTTAATTAAATTCACTTAATGCTAATGCATATAACAATAAAGGTTCATTGTTTCATTACATTTATTAGCTTATGCTTTACATCAAATTAAAGAATTTCAATAAGCAATAGAGTTTTATGACAAGGCTCTATCAATAAAAGAAAATCCTACATTTTTTAAAAATAAAGGTATTAATCTTCTAAAATTAATTATTTAAGCTGAATCATTACTTGCTTTGGGAAACAAATAAGAAGCTAGAATTATTTTTGAGAAAGCTCTTAATGCAGGATATGCAGATTAAGAATATATAAGAAGATAATTATTAATTTTATGAGAATCCTTTCATTATATATATAAGAATAAGTTATCAATATTTATTAATTCCTTTAATTCTTATTTTTCTTATTTTTATTAGAATTAAGTAAAAGGAAAATTATTGGAAAAACATAAATCATAAATATTTTCCTTTTTCAATTTTTTTGACTAAATTAAATTCAGTTTAACAAAACAATATATGATTTCTTAATATAAATTTGATTAGTTTTTGATTATAATATAGAAATAATAGAGGTTAGATACAGCTAAATCAAGAGTATAATTTTATTTTTAAATATATTCTAATATTTATCAAATGAATCAATCTTAATTAATTTAAACTTGTTTATAATTAGTGAAAGATATCTCTTTATAATTATAAGTTGTGTTTCAACTCACAAATTTATTTTTGTAATTTCTATCACTTTCAGACTTATAATTTTGGTTGAAAATCAAAAAATAAATCTCAAATCCTTAGTCATACTATTCATCACTATGTACATTTATTTTAAATTTACATCATTTTTTCTCCCAACCTTTATCATAAGAATTATACTCAACTCTCTATGATATAATTATTCTTTTGTTCCATCCTACTAGCTATTTTATCATTCATTTATTCACCATTATAAGTTACTTATTAATCTATCTTAAGAATTAAATCAATCCATTTCCAAATCTCAACCTCACAATCTTTTTTATCTTTTGATCCATCTTCTCTAAAAATTTTTCTATTTATTATGAAATATATTCATCCTCTAATTTCCATGCCAATTCAAATAAACTATCCCATTAACCAAACTTTTTATTACATATTTAAAAATTACATCTATTTATTTTAAATCAAAATATTCTACTTAGCAACCATTAACTCTAGACTGTTAGCATAAATCAAAAACAATTTTGAATTATAAATTATATTTAAATAATGTAGTCAAATATAATATTTTCCTGAAAAAAAAATGAAACCGTAATTTTTTTCATTTGACAAAATACAATTTAAATAATCCAAAATTAAACTATCTTAATATTTCAAAATATTTAGACTATAAAAATAAAATTAAGATATAATCTTCCAGGTCCCAAAAAACTGAATATAATCTTCAGGACCTGACCTTGAGGAGTGGTCAAGGCACTTCATTAAGGGCCTCCCAAGATAGGAGACTCAAATTTGTGTCTCTATTCAGTACAATAACAAGGGAATCAAATCTAAAATCTCTGCTTGAACAGACTAATAATTTATTTAGGAAATTCCCCCAGGCTAGTTCTTTGTCATGGAAGATATGCATACCTCCACTTAGTCAAAAAGTGAGCAGTATGAGGAAGACTACATTGAACTAAAAAGAGGAAAACTCTAGCTAGGGAATCATGGGACTACTCCCTCATATTAGTTTTTGTAGTGACATGTACGTGTACATCCACTAAGCCGACCTAGTGAGCGATACGAGAGGAACTATGATAAGCTGAGAAGAGAAGATTAGTCGCCTTCCTTGACTACTTTGAGATTTATAATTCCTGTTCTATTGGCTCACTGAGGATTCTGGTAATCATTAAATCAATAGACCTATTTCTAGAACAAGAGGGAAATTTGAAAAGATTAGGTAATATATAAAAGGAAAAGTGATGCTCTGTCATTCTGATAAAGTCTGAACTTTAAATCTAACGAATTCTGAGAATTAGTAAGTTTGAAACTCTCTCTGCTATGAGTACTCCTGACACTTATAAAATCTAATAATATAAACTGATGACATTAATTATTTCCATTTAATTACTAGTAGAAGAGTGTAACATATTTTAATTTATTTTCTTGTTGAATTAAATTAAATTTAGGCTATTAGATGAATGGTTAGCGTTTTTGCATAATACAATAACTCATATTAGATTGTATTCAAATATAGAGGGTAGATTTAGATGATTGATATTTTATATATATTTGGCAATTTTAGTCCTAATCAAAAACAAAATGTATTTAAAAGTCTTAGAGTGTAATTGAATTCATAATTAATTTAACTAAGATTTTAGATTGAAAAAAATAAATATTTACGAATTTTAAATGCTCTCTTAAGTAGTCATTTCAAAATATTTTTCTTATCATTAATTTTATTTAT